ATGACCATCATAATCATGAAGGTCACTGTTTACGCCGTCGTTATCGCCATCGTCATCGCAATCGCCATCGTCATCGCCATCACTACCGTAATCGTCACCACCATCGTCATCATCACCTTCATGGTCATCATGCTCATCACTATCGTCATCATCATCTTCATCCTCACCATCATCACCGGCAACATAATCAGCTTCACCCCCATCACCACCATCCCCATCCACAACAATCCCATCATCACCCTCATCCTCGCCCTCATCATCATCATCCTCATCCTCATCCTCATCCTCGCCATCACCAGCAGCATGATCATCACTACCGTCAACACCATCATCACCACGATCATCATCACCATGATCATCGTCAACCTCATCATCATCCTCACCACCATCATCATCACCATCATCATCATCCGCATCCCCATCCTCGCCATCATCAGCATCATCATCACTATCGTCATCACCACCAGCACCATCATCTTCACTATCGTCATCACAAGCACGATCATCATCATCATCATCCTCATTCTCATCCTCGCCATCATCAGCACCACCTTAATCATCATCATCCTGAACCCCGCCATCATCTGCATCATCATCGCTATTGTCACCACAGTCATCCTCATCACCATGATACTCGTCATCAGGACCACTATCATCATCACTATCACCATCAGAATCCCCATCCTCATTATCACCATCATCACCATCATCATCATCGCCATCATCCGCATCACCATCATCATCGCGAAAACCATCATCATCATGACCCATTTCATCATCATCGTCCCCATCCTCATCCTCGCCAGCATCAACATCAGCGTCATCACTATCGTCAACACCACAAGCACCGTCATCAACACTACCGTCATCACCATCATGCTGATCCCCATCCTCATCCTCATCATTATCATCCTCATGCTGGCCATCATCACCAGCATCATCATCACTATCGTCACCACCATCATCATTACTAACGTTATCACATTCATCATCACCACCAGCATCATCATCATCGTCACCCTCATCCTCACCACCATCAGCATCAGCATCATGATCATTACCACTATCGTCACCACCATCATCCCCATCATCATCATCCTCATCATCTCCGTCATCCGCATCATCATCGCTGTCGTCATCATCATCATCATTTTCACTATCGTCACCGTCATCATCCTCACCCTCATCATCGCCATCAACAGCATCATCATGATCATTACGATTGTCATCACCATCATCATCACTACCGTCATCACCAGCATAGACCATCATCCTCATCATCATCATCATCCTCGCCATCATCGGCATCATCATCATCTTCATCACGATCGCCATCATGATCATCAATCCTGCCAGATGGTCCACTCACTACCGGCAGGACAGGGAACCTTTTTTTCACTGGTGGCCAGGGGGACCCCCGGCCATCATTATCGCGATCGTCATCACCATCATCACCGTCATCATAATCATCCTCATCCTCGCCATCATCATCACAATCATCATTATCAGTATTGTCATCACCATCAGCATCATCATCACTATCGTGATCATCATCATATCATCATCACCATCATCGCCATCATCATCATCCTCGCCATCATCAGCATCAGCATCATCATCACGATCGTCATCACCATCTTCATCCTGATCACTATCGTCATCATCATCGTCCTCATCATCATCCTTGCCGTCATCAGCATGACCATCACTGTCGTCATCATAATTTCTATCGTCATAACCATCATGATCATCATCCTCTTCCTCCGCCTCATCCTCGTTATTATCATCATCCTCATCATCATCACCATCATCATCCTCGCCATTATCACCATTATCATCATCACTATCCTAATCAACATCATCATCACTATCGTCATCACCAGCATAGACCATCATCACCATCGTCATCATCATCATCACTATCATCACCATCACCATCACCGTCATCATCACTACGATCTTCATCATCATCATCGTCCTCGCCATCATCATCACCATCATCATCGCTATCGTCATCACCATCATCACCATCATCGTCATCGTCATCATGACTACTATCGCCATCAGCATCATCCTCATCCTCACCATCACCATCACCACCACCATCATCATCACCACTATCGTCATCACCATCACCATCATCAGCACCACTATCGTTATCATCCTCTCCATCCTCATCCTCATCCTTGCCATCATCAGCATCATCACTATCGTCATCACCATCATCACAATCGCCATCACAACCATCATCATCATCTTCATCATCCTCATCCTCGCCATCATCATCTTCCTCATCCTCGCCATCATCAGCATCATCAGCATCATCATCACTATCATCAACACCACCATCATCAACATCATCAGTATCGTCTTTACAAGCATCATCATCCAAAGCATCATCATCATCCTCATATCCATCCTCGCCATCATCGACATCATCACCACCACCATTACCACCACCAAATTCATCATCATCATCATCAGCATCATCACTACCGTCATTACCATCATCAGTTATCAACATCATCATCGTCATCATCATCATCGTCATCATCATCATCATCATCATCATCATCATCACTATTATCATAATCATTATCGTCATCACCATCATCAGCATCATCATCACTATCGTCATCATCATCCTCATCCTCGCCATCATCATCAACCGGGCCCCGAGGGCCCGGGGGATTGGAGCCTAGGGCCCCGTGTCCGGCGCCCAGGGCCCAGTGTCCCAGACCCGTGGCCCAGTGTCTGGAGCCTGGGGCCCGGGGCTGCACCCAGGGCCTGGGGCCCGAGGCGTTCTCCTTGAAAGGGTTGCACGGTCTCCAAGAGTATTCGTGTCTATTTGTTCGTGTCGCGCACACAATGAAAACACAGGCAAGAAGGAAACAAGAATGGACACGAAGTGCAGGTCTTCAAGACAGATACGAATCCATGGAAAGATAAAATCGACATGATATCGCAAATCGGCACGAGCGTCAATAGCATGCACGAATTAGCTACGATCAGACACGAACACAGATCCGAGGACAGGCTCGTGCAAGCAGGCAACGAATGATTGACACGCTTACGGGTGTGTCTGCATGTGCATATAAACACACGTACGTGTACGAACCATACACGTAAGTAGTCCTGTACACATGCACAATCACGTGTGATGGATCCTATGGCATGGGGAATTCGGGGGAGGAGCGCCGAGGAGTGCGAAGGAAATGGAAAAGTGTGGAGGAGCGCCGCGGAGTGCGATGGAGTGCGGGGGGGCCTTGAGGAATGAGGAGGAGTGCCGAGGAGTACGACGAAGAGGGGAAGAGTCAGAAGAAGAGCCGAGGAGCGCGGTGGAGTGTGGAGGAGTGGCATTGAGCCTAGTGGAGTGCGATGTAGTGGGCTAGAGTCTGGAGGATCGGGGAGGGGGACGCCGAGAAGTGCGAGGGAATTGAGATAAGTCGGGAGGAATCAGGATGAGTGCCGATGTGTGAGATCGAACAAGGAGTCCGGAGTAGGGAGGAGAGCCGAGGAGTGGAGTAGGAAGGAGTCCACAGGAGTGCCGAAGGTTGCAATGGAGAGGGCTGAAGTCTTGGCAGTGGGGTGGAGTGCCGAGCAGTGCGATGGAGTGGGGAAGAATCCTGAGGAGTGGGAAGAAGCACAGAGGCGTGCTATGGAGTGGGGAGACATGCCGAGGAGTGCGATCGAGTGGGGAGGAGTCGAGAGGAGTCAGGAGGAGTGCCGAGGAGTGCGATGGAGTGGGGAGGAATCGGGAGGAGCGCTGATGAGTGCAATTGGGCGGGGAGGAGTCTGGAGGAGTGCCGAAGAGCGCCCAGGAGTGCGATGGAGTGGGGAGGAGTCTGGAGAGGCGCCAACGAGTGAGATGGAACAAGGAGTCCGGAGGAGGGAGGAATGCCCAGGAGTGGAGCGGGGAGGAGTACATAGGATTGCCGAGGAGGGCCGAGGGCTACAACAGAGAGGGGAGACGTCAGGGGGGGAGCAGGGCAGAGTGCCAGGGGCACGATGGAGAGGGAAAGAAGCATACGTGTATACATCTACACACGCGCACGCCTATGCATATACAAGCCCGCACAAAACCCACATACACCCACGAATCAGTAACTCCCCAATGTGAGCGGATCGCGGGAAAATGGACACGCGTCCCAAAACATAGACACGACAGGATGGACAGGGACAGTTAGATAACTATGAAGAGCGACACGAATAGACACTAAAAGGTGCGCTTCATGTTAGACAAGCATAGACACGGAATAGACATGGACGTGTGAGGATGTCTCAGGCCATTGGTCCAATTTCTATGGAAATAGGCACGGGAACCCTCCAGTCCCTATTTTTGAACTCGAAAGCTGCTTGGGACATCATGAGAACCCCGAGTGTAATCTCTGTCTTTTGGGCGTATTGTAGGCTAGGGTGGGGGCCCGGGTCACCGGGTCTGGTGTTTGGGCCCTGGGCCCAGGGCCAGGGCCCCGGGGGGCCTGGGGCCCGAGGCCCGGTTCGGGGACCGGGCCCGACTGTTCCTCTGTGGTGCAGGAAGGGGAGGGGGTGAGGAGGGGGAGCAGGAGGAGGAGGAGGAGGAGCCCAGCGTATCGAGTGAGGTTCGTCAGCAACTGAGGGGGCGGAGAGCCGCCATCAACATAAGACTGAAACAATGCAGAGCAAGTCAGAGGATCGGCATCGATCGATGGCTGGGACGGCAGCATAGGGGGGGAGGACCAGGAGGGACGGCAGAGGCAGCCGCACCGAGAGCTCAAGAAAGAGAGGAGGACGGAGATGGGAGCACGGGGCCTGTGGGCGGCGACGACCGCGGCGTGGCACACAAAGAAATACGATAGATGGTGGCGTGGGCGGCGGAGGGGGAAGCGGGCGAGGGGCAAGCAGCAGCAGGGGCAGGAAGGCTCAGGAGCGAAGGACGAGGTTGGGGAGGAGGAGGAGGAGGAGGAGGAGGAGGAGGAGGAGGAGGAGGAGGAAGAGGAGGATGCGCGGGCGGCGAATGCCTTCCGTCTGGGGCAAATTCGCAATTCACCGTCAACGCCGCTCGCAGCGAGCTGACGGTTTCCTCGCAGCTCCGGTCGAAGAAGTCCAAGTCCCCCGGCAGGGTCCCGAAGCCTATGAGGGCCATCCTTCTCGTCTCTCTCTCCTCCTCCCTCTTCCTTGCCCTCCTGATGCTTCTGTTCCTCCTGTTCCCGTTCATGGTAATTTTCCTCCTCCTCCTTCTCCTCCTCCTCCTTTTCCTCCCTCCTCTTTTCTCACGCCTCCCTTCTGCCTGCTCTTCCACCTCACATTCCTCCCCCCCTTCTCCTGCTCCTGTTCATACCCGAGTTCCTCCTCCTCCTCCTCCTCCTCCTCCTCCTCCTCGTCCTCCTCCTCTCTCTCTATATGTATATTCCCTTTTCTATATTTTTATAATCCTGGAGGGTGGGACCCCCCCCCCCCGAAATAGGATCCTCCCCAACCGGGACTTCCGGAAACGGGACCCCTCACGAGGATCGCAGCCTCCGAGCGCGAAAATTAGCGCTTTGACCTCCCGAGAGGCTTTCTCGAGGCTCCTACGAAGGCCCAAGAGGGTCCCAAGAGCCTTCCAGAGTCCTCCGAAGAAGCCCCCGAGAGATGAACATCAGTGATTTCCTATGGTTTTTCTACGATGTTTGCTTCTTTGCATGTTCACTGTTCCGACGTGCCAAGACGGCCGAAGACGCCCACAAGACCGATGCCAGACGTCTCAAGAGGCCTCCAAGCGAGTCCGAAACCGGCCCAAGACAGCCCCGACACGGCCCAAGGGGTGCCCAAGACGGCCCCAGAGAGCCCCAAGACGGCCTTCAGAAACGGCACCCCTCACGAGGATCGTAGCCTTCCAGCGCGAAACTGAGCGATCTTCGTCCGAAGAGGCACCTACGAGGGTACGCGAGGGTCCTCGGGTTGCCTTAAAAGCTTCTTAAAGGTTCCCCCGACAGCTCGAGAAGGCCCCACGAACCTCGCAGAGTTCTCTGAAGAAGGCCCCAAGAGATCAAAATCATTAATTTCCTATGGCTTTCCTAAGATTTTGGCTTCGTTGCATGTTCACTGTTCCGACGTGCCAAGACGGCCGAAGACGCCCACAAGACCAATCCCAGAGGGCCCAAGCAGCCTCCAAGCGAGTCCACAGCCGGCCCAACAGAGCCTCCAGACGGCCCAAGCCGTGCCCAAGACGGCCCCAGAGAGCCCCAAGACAAGCTTCAGACAGAGCTTAAAAGGGAAAAAACATACAATTGCAACGCGCTCGGCTCCCACACGGCCACGCGAGGCCCCAAGCCCCTTCCAGGAGGCCACAAGAAGGGCCACCAGGCGCGCAAAAGGCTTATGATTTCAAGGACTCTGCACCCAGACGCCCACACGAAGCTCCAAGACTCCTCAACGGCTCCCCAGACGTGCCACGAGGCGCCCAAGAGCCGCCAAGAAGCATTCACGAAGTTCCCCCACGACGCCCCACAAGGCCTCTAAGAACCTCCACGAGTTCTCCGAAGAAGGCCTTAATAATCCTGGGGGGTGGGAAAAACCCCACCCCGAAATAGGATCCTCCCCAACCGGGACTTCCGGAAACGGGACCCCTCACGAGGATCGCAGCCTCCGAGCGCGAAAATTAGCGCTCTCCGTCCAAAGAGGAAGGTGAGAGGACACGCGAGGCTCCTTGGACCTCCCGAGAGGCTTTCTCGAGGCTCCTACGAAGGCCCAAGAGGGTCCCAAGAGCCTTCCAGAGTCCTCCGAAGAAGCCCCCGAGAGATGAAATCAGTGATTTCCTATGTTTTTCTAAGATGTTTGCTTCTTTGCATGTTCACTGTTCCCTCTGAAGTCCTTTTCTTGCATTCCATTTGACCCTTTCGTTGCTTCGAACACCAAGTTCTCCCACTCCCCCTCCGCAACCTCTGCACATTCGCAATGCGAGCCCGCGAGGACCCCTCGAAGGGACCGCAGGATACCGCGAGAAGCCAGCCGATCCAAAGCTTCAAGGAACAAGATGCATGGCGCGAAGCGCCTATGCAGCCTTGTATATATATATATATATATATATATATATATATATATGGTCGCCCCCCCCTGTGATCATACATTTCGTCGTCGTCGTCGTCGTCGTCGTCGTCCTCTTCCTCCTCCTCCTCCTCCTCCTCCTCCTCCTCCTCCTCCTCCTTCTCCTCATCTCGGGGGAGGGGAGTAGGGGGGGAGGAGTAAGCGGAGGAGACGGAGGAGGGTGTCCGCGGGGGCCGAACTGGAGACAGAAAAACAAGAAAAACATGAAACATATGAAAAAACTGTGTTTCCACATGGAAAAATGAGAAAAACAACTCCCCCTTCGAGGGCGGGGAGGAGGCAAAAAAGGAAACAAAGAAAAAAGAGAGGAAGCGGAAGAGTAAGCGGAAGAGACGGAGGATGGTGTTTTTTACTTTGTTTCCCCTTTCCCCGCCCTCGGAGGAGGAGTGTGTTTCCTTTTTTTCCACGTGAAAACACAAGTTTGTTTCCATCTATATTTCTTTTTTTTCTCCTGATTTTCGTTCCCCCTCTGGGGCGGCGGGGAAACCTTGCGGGGCCGAACGGGAAACCGAACAAAGGGGAACAAGTAAACATATGAAACAAAATCTTGTGTTTTCAATTGGGAAATAGGAAAACAACTCCCCCTTCGAGGGCGGGGAGGAGAAACAAACATTAAAAACAAGAGAAACAAGGGAGGAGGCGGAGGAGTAAGCGGAGGAGACGGAGGAGGGTTTTTGTTTTTCATTTGTTCCCTTCTCCCCGCCCTCGGAGGAGGAGTTGTTTTCCCTTGTTCCCAATGTGGAAACACAGGTTTTTCCATATTTGTCCTTTTGTTCCTGTTTTACGGGCCCTGGGGCGGCGGGGAAACCCCGAGGGGCCGAAAGGGCGAGCGAAAAACAGGGAAAAAGGAACATTAGGAACAAACTTGTGTTTTCACATGGAAAAAAAAAGGAAAACACTCCGCCTCCGAGGGCGGGGAGGAGGAACAAAAGGAAAACAAAACACCCTCCTCCGCCTCCTCCGCCTAGTCGACTCCTTGACTCAACGTTCCCGCCCGTTTTCTGACGAATTCCGTTCAGCTTTCTCTCGTTATCTCTCCTCTATTCTCCTCCCCCTCTCTCTCTCTCTCTTGTCTCTCTCTCTCTCTCTCTCTATATATATATATCCTCCTCCCTCTCTTGACACTCTCTCTCTCTCTCTCTTCCTCTCCTCTCCCTTCCTTTCTCTCTCTCTCTCTCCTCCTCCCTCTGTCTCTCTCCTCCCTCTCTTGACACTCTCTCTCTCTCTTTCTCTCTCTCTCTCTCTCTCTCTCCTCCTCCTCCTCCTCCTCCTCCTCCTCCTCCTCCTCCTCCTCCTCCTCCTCCTCCTCTCCTCTCCATTATATGTGCCCCGCCCCGCCACAAAAGGAATCGATATGTAAATCCACTTCCCCCGTGTCCACCTCCGCCTCCTACTCTTCCTCCTCCTCCTCTTCATCTTTCTCCTCCTACTCCACACAAGGAATCCATGTGGAGGCCCCTCCACATAAGGGATCGATATGTGAAGGGCCTCACACATAAGGAACCAATGTGTACAGGCTCCTTCACATAAGGAACTCATCTACGAAGGCCCCTCCCACATAAGGATTCAACATGTTGGAGGCCCCTCCACACAAGATATCAATATGGAGACCCCTTGCACATAAGGAATCAATATGCGGCGGTCCCTCCACAGACAAACTCAATATGTGGAGGCCCCTCCACATAACGAGTCTATATTCGAAGGCCCATCCATATAAGAAATCCATGTGGAGACCCCTTTGACCTAAGAAATGAATATATGGAAGTCCTTCCACAGACGAAATCAACATGTGGAGGTCCCTTCCACATAAGGAGTCAATATGTGGAGGCATCCCCCCCACAAGAGGAATCAATATGCGCGAGGCCCCTTGCACATAAGGAAAAAATATGGGAAGGCCCCTCCACAAAAGGAAACAATATCATCTTTCTCCTCCTCATCTTTCTCCTCCTACTTCATCTGCTCCTTCTTATCCTCAACCCCTGCGCCAGAGCGGGAGGAGGAGGGGGAGGAGCAGGAGGGAGAGGAGGACAAGGAAATCGCCCGCCGCAAAAGAACTCAATTGGTGGAGGTCCCTCCACAGACGGAATCAACATGTGGAGGCCCCTCAACTTAAGGAATCGATAATTTGAGGGCCCATCCACATAAGGAATCCATATGTGCAGACCCTTTCCAACATAAGGAATCAACAAGTGGGAGGACCCTCCACAAAAGAAATCAATATGGAGACCCCTTGCACATAGGGAATCAATATGTGGAGGTCCCTCCACAGACGGAATCAACATGTGTAGGTCCCTTCCACATAAGGAATCAATATGTGGAGGATCCCCCACAAAAGGAAACAATATCATCTTTCTCCTCCTCATCTTTCTCCTCCTACTCCTTCTGATCCTTCTTCTCCCCAACCCCTGCGCCGGAGTGAGAGAAGGAGGGAGAGGAGGAGCAGAAGGAGGAGGAGGAAAAGGAGATCGCCCGTCACATAACGAATCAATATGTGGAGGTCCCTCCACAGACGGAATTAATTTGTGGTGGCCCCTCCACATAAGGAATCGACATGAAAAGGCCCATCCACATAAGGAATCCGTATGTGCAGGTCCTTTTACATAAGGAATCATTATGTGAAGGCCCCTTCCACATAAGGAATGAACAAGTTGGAGGCTTCTCCACATAAGAAATCAATATGGAGATCCTTGCTCATAAGGAATCAACATGTGGAGGTCCCTCCACAGACGGAATCAACATGTGGAGATCCCTTCCACATAAGGAAACAATATGTGGAGGATCCCCCACAAGAGGAATCAGGCCCTTTCCACATAAGGATTCAACGAGTGGGAGGCCCCTCCACACAAGATATCATTATGGAAGCCTCCTGCACATATGGAATCATTATGTGGAGGTCCCTCCACAAATGGAATCAATGTGGAGGCCCCTAAACATAAGGAATCGATGTTTGAAGGCCCTTGGAAAGACGAACATATGCAGAGAAGTCGGATCAGCGATAAACGAGTAGAAGGAACGACAATGATAATGAAGAGTAGGAGGGACAA